GGGAGCACACGCTGTGCTTACAAAGCAGCCCCCAGCTGTACGGAAAGCCACTGGGAACAGAATGGTCCAGCTCCACCAGGAAACACAATTCCGGTCCTGATCCCCATCCCCGCTGTGCCGTGGCTCCTGGGAGGCGGGGGTACCCGCTGGTGGGCTGCAGCCGGCCCCCAGGCCAGCCCTCGCCTCGCTGGCACAGGCCAGCAGCCTCCCAGGAGGTGTAGGGGGGGAAACGGAGGTTCTTGTTCCCGCCCTGTTTGCATCCCTTGGGCAAACTCCCCGGGAGGCAGCTGGCACAGTTTTCCTTTGGGAGGCACCCCGCCGCTGGTGGTTGGGTGTCCTTGGCAGCCCTTCAGAGGCGCTGGGTTCCTTTGGGCAGGGAAAGCACTGAGATTCCTCTCTGCTGACATTCCGCTCAATTCCTTCCCGCTGACATGCTGGTCACATGCAGGCAGGCACCGGGAGCAAACCCCGAGCCTGGATTACGTGCTTGCCATGACGCCCTGGGGAAGGGGGTGCTGGCAGTGGGACGAGGGGGACGGGGTTGCTGCTCCCAGGGCAGCTGCCGAGGGTGACTGTCCTCTGACACCTCCCGTACGAGCGGCCCGGGGCGCCACGCTGGGACTGTGACAGCAGGAGCGTTGGTGTCACAGGCAGCTAAGCTTTACTTCAATAAAGGGGATGGTGCAGAAGCAAGGCCTGCGTCCCGTGCCCCAGAGCCACTTAAAGCGCAGGTGACTTGGAGGTAACCACACTTACCCTGTAGCAGGCGATTCCCACCCCCAGCCAGGTGAGGCAGGACGCGGCGTTCTCGCAGGCGAGCAGGTAGGTCTGCTTCGCCCGGCCGTACTGCGGGGAGAGACGAGTGTCTTTCTGTCTGCATCAAACACATCGCTCCGCAGACAAACACCACCCCCCCCCAGCAATGTGCCAAACACCCCAGCTCCCATGAGGCTCAGACACCCACTGTCCCCACCGCTGTTGGGGGGCTGAGAGCCTGCCCGCCACCCCCAGCGCAGTGGCTCTGTGCTGGCAGGTGGCAATACCGAAATGTGGGGGTCCCCCTCATTGATAGGATGAGGAGAGCAGCGCCCCGAGACCTCGCTGCTGAGCCTGGCACAAAGGAACAGGGCAGGTCCGTGTGCCCAGGAGTTGAGCACTCCAAGGTTTTGACTTGCCTAAGATCTTGGCTATAGCTACAAATAACGGCCTCTTGTACCTGGGGTCTAGAATCTTCTACTTTGTGTAAAATTCCCGTCCGTCGCTCCTGCTGGCTCCTCACCTCTTTCTCTTCCAGGTAGATGGAGCCCAGGCGCAGGTAGACGAAGTGCATATCCGCAGCGTCCTCCACGAAGCTGATGGTTCGCTCGTAGCACTCCTTTGCCTCGCCGAAGTCCCGCTTCAGGTAGCACAGGTGCCCTTTCTGAGCCCAGACGTTTGGATTCTGTGCACGCAAAACCAGGAGTGAGATGTGGCTGGGAGACGGGAGGGAGAGAGACCTGGGAGAG